GGAATTATTTCAGAACGTTAACAGTTCTAATATTTTCAGGGCCAGGATTACCAGTGATTTTTGGGTTTTGCTTAAATACTTCTGTTCTTTTTCTAAATTCTATGCAAGGGGCATGTATTTTCAAAACCAGAAAATATCATTAAATGTTATTTATTGAAAGAAGAAAAAAAATTTAATCTGATTTCTTTCCAACTCCATCTCATTAGAAAGAAATTTCTGAAAGTATCTGCCACTTGTTGTCTCCTGAGTGACAAATCATGGCCAGATACACAGGGTGGCATTATCTACCAGGTGTAGGTAATACAGTGTGACAAAGCTCCTGAGAAATGACAGGCTGATAGCTACAGGAATTGTGGGTGCCCTGTCTTCTAGGTGGTATGTGAGTGACTTTTACAAAATAGATTTTTGAAATCTACTTAGATTTTTCATGGTTCATGCCCTCAAGAGAGGATTTATTTCTTTGTTTAACAAATATTTATTGGGTGCCTATTAAGTACCAAATAAGAGTGACCAAGAGGGTCTTTGCTCTTATGACACTTACCTTCTAGTGGTGAAAGATAGTCATCAAGGAAACAGGCCAATGGTGAGATGAAAAATGAGACATTGTGAAGAAAACAAAACAGGAAGAGGGACTAACTTAAATTGGGTGGTCGTGTGAAGCCTACTAAGGAAGTTTGAGCTAGGACCTGAGTGACAAGAAAGAGCCAGTCTTACAATGATTTAACGGTAGAGGGAACAGCATGGACAAGAGCTCTGCAGCACATTCTGGGAACAGAAAAAAGGCCAGTGTGGTTGGGAAATGGTAAATGAGAGGAGCAAATGGTAAGAAAAGAACAGCAGAGGTAGGCAGAGCTAGACCATGAGGGGACTTCAAGACTGTGGTAGGAAGTTTGAATTTTATACTAAGTGCAATGGGAAATTATTTGATGGCATTAAGCAAGAAAATACGTGATCTAACTTGTTTTTAAACGATTACTCTGGCTACTCTATGGGAAATCATTGTAAAGGGTCAAGAGTAGGAATGAGGAAATCAGTAAAAGGTCATGTACAGTGGCCTTAGGTGAAAGTTAACGATGGCTAGAGTAGAAGCATTGACAAAGGAGAGAAGTAGATAGATTTGAAGTGTATTTGGAAATAGAGCCAGTAGATCTTGCTGAGTAATGTGTATGAGAGACTATAGGAAAGAGGGAATCAAAGTTGGTTTCTAGGATTTTGACTTGATTGACTGGGAAGAAGGTTTTGGCCATTATAAAGGTGGACAAAATGGGTCAGGGAAATTTGGGGGAATAGTGAGAGTTCTAGTTTGAATTGTTGAGTCTGAGCTACATGTTGAGATATCAAATAGTTAGATACATGAGTTTGGAGCAAGATGAAGAGGTTTGGAATGAGGGTTACTGTGTGTGAGTCTTTAGTGTATAGATAGGGTATTTAAAGCCATGGGACTGCATGAGATCACTAAGTGAGAAGTAAAGGTGATGAGGACTGAGTCTTGGGACCTGCAGGTAATGGTCTTGACAGTGGGGGAGGAGCTAGCCAAGATGGCTAAAAGGGAGCACACAGGTGGGAGGAAAACTGAGGGAGAGGGAGTGGATTTGATCCAGGACTGGCCTGACAAGAAGGCAGAAGTAGAGAGTTTCAAGAAGGATGGATCTATCTGGTTGAATGCTGCTGAGAGAGAGAGAGTAAGATGAGGTCAGAGACGTAACTGTGAATTAGTTTTCTGAGGCTGCTGTAAGAAATTACCACAAATTTGTTGGTTTAAAACAACAGAAATTTATTCTCTTAAAGTCCTGGGGGCTAGAAGTCCAAAATCTGGCAGGGCTGCTTTCCCTCCTGGGGACTCTCGGGGAGAATTCATTCCTTGCCTCTTCCAGCTTCTAGTAGCTGCCCCAGCATTCCTGGTTTTGTGACCACATTCCTCCAGTCTCTACCTCCACCTTCACGTCTCCTTCTCCTCTGTGTCTCTCTCCAAACTCCCTTTGCCTCTCAGAAAAACACTTGTAATATCATTTGGGCCCCATCTGAATAATACAGGATAAGCTTAAAATCCTTACTTAATTCATCTGCAAAGACCTTTTTTCCAAATAAGATAAATTCCAGGGATTAGGATTTGATGTTTTTGGGTGGCCATTGTTCACCCTATTAAACCTTGGTTTTAGAATTGTGGTAGCTGTTAGAGATCTCAGTAAGAGCAGTTTCTTTGGAGCAGTGAGAACATAAGAGAATCATATTTACCTTTCATGTTTGCTGCCATGTAGAGAACTCTTTTGTCTATCCCAGGACTGTGCAAGTTGATCTCACTGCTTTTCCATGGGCAATCAATAGTAGTATGCCTGTGGTTAGCTTCAAATTTTACATGTTGAGCACGAGAAAGGAGCAATGCCAGTTCAGAAGCCTCTGCCAGTTCTTTTGAGTTCATTGTTGTTGACCTATGTGATCCAAGTTGGCATTACCAGTGGCCCTTATTTCTGTAACCAAAATCTGGTTTATTTCAGATTTCAGACATCTCTGTTTTGATTAATGATATCAGTAACTGTATTCTTCATAACCTTATTGATAACCATGTTGCTGAAAAATTCCTACTCAGAAAGTGGAATGGATGTTATTTAGATAGTATATAGGTATAGGTGGGTATTTTAAATACGTAAACTATCTGAAGAGAGATAAGGGGATGCAGAGAAAAATGCTATTTTGCCATTTTTTTTCTTACTGCCTTTGTGAAACACAGGTGTTAAAACCGGTACACTTGGTGCTGAACCACCCTCAGTTGTTCTCTGCTGGCTTTCTGTGATTCCTGCTGGACAATGGGGAGCAGCAGAGGTAATAAACAAGTTACCTCTGGTCCTCTGTGGCACTGCATGGACAAGAGATAGTGACCACATCTGGAAGAAGCCTGCTTCCCTGGAGGGAGTTCTAGTAACACAGGAATTCCTGCATCCCCAGCATTTCCTTGAGTTGGGACTGAAATGACTGGCAGCCTTGGGTCGCTTCCCTGTGTGTGTGTGTCTATTTGGGAGAGGGCAATGGTTGTGCTTCCTCCAGATGAAAGGCTTTACTTTCTCAGGGAGCTGACTTGATTACCATAGATCAAATCTAAGTCTTTAGCTGTGGGACCATTCTCCCAGACTACCAGAGTGCAGACTCCCTCAGCTTCTATGTTGGGGGCAGAGGCCCTAATTTGGCATGGTGAAAAGACAGGCTTTGGAGTTAGGCAGACCAGTTTCATCCACTTACTTGTTCTGTGACTTTTGGCAAGTCATATACCCTCTTGGAGCCTCTGTATCCTCATTTGATTAAATGGGATTGAAGGCATCTGATATTATGCTTACTACATAGTAGGCATGTAATAAATGTTAGATTGCACTATTAATACATCTCTTCATCTGTTTATTCATTTAATACTTAAATTTCCTTACTGTTTTGATGTCTTTATATTAAGCAGAGTCCTAAAGAAAGATCCACCTGTTAATATAGCATCTCTTTTGGGAATGAGAAGTAGAGAAGTAATGAGTGTCCCCCCCCCCCGCCCCCAATTCTGTTACCCTGCCACAATTACTAACTGTTAGGTCTTGGATTCCAGTACATTGGAAAACAGTCATAGTCATTATGAATACATCCTGAGGGAGACTTTCTTAATTGTAAAATTTACCAAGAAGAGCAGAAGAAAGTTGGCTTGTTCTATGTGTAGGAGCAGCTCTGCGCAAAGACTAAGATACTGGGAGGGGAGTTGCTGAGGAATGAGGCTGTAAATAAATGGGTCAGCTTATTCGACATAGAATATTCTAGGAGTTTTTTGGAAGAAAGCTGTAGGAATGAGTTTGTTGTGAACAAAGGATGGCCTTGGGAGTTGGCTGAGACCCGAGGTGAGGTCCTTCCTCTGCAGTTCCCCAGCTGTGTGACCTTGGGTAAGCTGCTGACCTGTCAAATGGGGATGAGACTATATGTCCTTGATTTCTAAGACGCCTCAATTTAATAACACCTTGGAGGAAGTGGTGGGAACATGTCCTCATTAAATTATTCATAACTTGTAGCCAATTGTATGATGTCTCCTGGTTGTAGAAATGTTGATGAGATTTTTTTTAAAGTGCATTTTAGGGGCCGGCCCCATGGCCAAGTGGTTAAGTTCTCGCACTCCTCTTCGGCGGCCTAGGGTTTCGCTGGTTTGAATCCTGGGTGCGGACATGGCACCGCTCGTCAAGCCATGCTGAGGCGGCATCCCACATGCCACAACTAGAAGGACCCACAACTAAAAATACACAGCTGTGTCCCAGGGGGCTTTGGGAGAAAAAGGAAAAATAAAATCTTAAAAAATAAATAAATAAAAGTGCATTTTAGAAGCAAAGTAATATGGTCATACCTATCATCTCAAAGATGTTGGGAGATTAATGAGATAATATATGTTAAGTGCCCATCCAAGTTAGTATTCAGTGAATTGTAGCTATTATTAACAGATGAAAGGACATGAAAAGAAATTTGACTGGAAAACATCTGAAGAAAGAATTTTAAACAACAAGGTCATAATGTGACCAGGATCTGAAATAGAACTAGAATGAGGGAAAAGAAGATGAGATAAAAGTTTAAGTAATGTTATGGAGATAAATGAGTGTGTGTATGAGGAGAAAGTTTTACAGACTAAATTTGTGTGATAACTTTGTGGTATATGTTCCAGTGTGAACAGAGGGAATATGGTGATCGTGGGATAAATTGACTCCTGTGTCATCTTCTGGGCATATTACAGTGTTTGTGAACTTGCTCCTGCATAAGCTGCTAATCACAAAAAATAAAGGGTTGGCTAATTCATAGATAACAAGCAAAGTGTTATGTTTTGTTTTTGTTTTGTTGTGGGGGAGGGGTGGCTGGTTAGGAACTTATCATTAATTTTAGTTGAGTTGCCTGGCCAGGGAATTCCTTGCCTACGTGTCAAACATCTTTATGTTTTGATTAGCGTGATACTGAATTTTTAGCTCTTCTTTCTTTTTTTTCTTTTTTTTTTGCCCCAGGTCCAGCAAGACTATGAACCTCTGTTCCAAATGCTTTGCTGGTAAGTGCAGAAAAAGGGTTTTTAAATTTATTTTTATTTTTCTTCTTTTGGTTGTTTTTAAGAGTATCTAAATCATTTGGCCTTCCTTTGGGTTTATGCATGGGGTTTTGTTTTGTTTTGTTTGTGAAAGCAGTTTCTCCTCACCAAAATGCTTCTGTTGAAACAGGCTTCCCTGAGTGAAATGAAATCTTATATGTACTTGCACCAGACAAACTTTCCTCATGTGTAGTTGTTGACGTACAGTGGAATTGTAAAAACTTGTAATAAGGTAATAATGTTCACCTCTGATCTTGACTTGAACGATTAATGGTGAATGTTGCTTTTACCAATGACAATACAAGAAAAAGAATGTTTTTGTGTTGGAGTCAGGAAGAGAATCATGCTGAAATAGCCCTTTCTAATCCAATACCTCATTGAAATCACCTTGGGTAAGCCACTTAAGCTCTTTGGACCCTTAGATTCATCATTTGTGAAGAGCTTGGGCTTAATGTTTGCCAAGGGCCTTTTCCAGCCCCTAAATGCTGATTGGTTGACTCCTTGAATTATGACTCCTTTATGAAGTTGAAACCTTCCTTTTTTTTTTTTTTTTTTTTTAAAGCATTTTATATCTAATGATCTCTTATATAAAGTAACTCAGATGTGTTTAGCTTTCCTTCTTTATTGGTTCGTTTTGTCAAAGATAAACAAAGTTGAACACTAGTTGAAGTGCTGAGGACAGATTTTAATCAGTGCTACACTGCTGCAGTAGGGAAGGAGGTCTAGGGTGAACTTGTTTGCACAGATGACTGGGTGTTTTAAAGAGAGGAGGAGGGGTTAGGGAGGAGTTGCTAGCTTGGCTCAGTAGAATCAGGGAAGTGAGAATTAACAAAGGATTGCTCAATGTAAATAGTGATTAGGTGCGCTGTGTCTGTTGGCTCACAGTTATGAGGTTAGGATTCTGTCCCCCTACTAGACCGAGAGACTGAGGCCCTGTCTTTCCTGATGATTACATTTTAAAGAAATGACTTTCGTGTCCTTAAGAAAGACACTCATGAGTTGTAGGAGATACATAAACCTCTCAAAGGGACAGGAGAAGGATTTACAGTTGTAATCGCTTGTCAGTAAATGCTCTAAGATAGGGTGGTCAGGGGCCTGTAGTCAGGTATTGGCTAGAACAAATGTTAAATTCTTTTGCCAGCTGCAAAGGGGTTCCTGGACCCATTGCAACATGAGTGTGCATGCGCTTACCTGTGCTTCCACACACCAACAGGCAGTTCTCAGATTCCAGCAGGGTGTCTGAAATTCAACTCAATTCTGACACTGTCTACCTGGAGATAGAATCAGATTCCACAGGTAAAAGGCTCAGTCCCACAAGACTGCCCTTCACTTTAGATACCAGTCACAAGCTAAAGTTGTTACCTGTGCTTCTACCAACCAGCTGAAAATCGGAGGTTCCCACGACCCCCTCCTTGGGTTCAGTAATTTGTTAGAACAGCTCACTGAACTCAAGAAAATCCATTTTTCTCACTAGATTACTGGTTTATTACAAAGGGTATTAAACGATACAAATCAACAACCAGATGAAGAGATACGTAGGTCGAGGTCCTGAACAAAGGAGCTTCTCTCCTTCTGGAGCTTGGAGCCCAGCAAGGTGGCATGTGGAAGTATTCTGGTTCCTCAACATGGGCACTCCCTGAACAAGGGCCGATGAGCTATCCTTCTGGGTTTTTATGGAAGCTTCATTATGTAGTCATGATTGACTAAGTCATTGGCAATAGATTTGACCCCAAGCCCCCTTCCCCTCCCTGGAAATCAGGTGGTGGGACTGAAAGTTCAATCCTTGGATCACATGACTGATCTTCTTTGGGAAGGGAAAATTCCAAGGGTTTTGGGAGCCGTGATCCAGGAACTGTGGATAAAGACCAAATATATCTGAGAAGTATATTTCAGTTATCCGAATGACCAAATACATATATTTCTTTTTTTTTTTTTGAGGAAGATTAGCCCTGAACTAACTGCTGCCAATCCTCCTCTTTTTGCTGAGGAAGACTGGCCCTGAGCTAACATCTGCTGCCAATCCTCCTCTTTTTGGTGAGGAAGCCTGGCCCTGAGCTAACATCCATGCCCATCTTCCTCTGCTTTATATGTGGGATGCCTTCCACAGCATGGTGTGCCAATCGGTGCCATGTCCACACCTGAGACCCGAGCTGGCGAACCCCGGGCCACCAAAGCAGTGTGTGCGCACTTTAACCGCTCCACCACTGTGCTGGCTTCTATATATTTCTTATAAATCATAATATTGCAGCAGCTTCGAGCTTTCTCAGGCAGGCAGTTTAAGAGGGGCTATGGTTATCCTAGGGATGGAGCCTTGAGCTCTTAGAAACTGTGTTAGTGTTTGTTTAAATCTTTTAATGTTGGGGGAGCGGGGTGGATGAAAGAAGAGCCTGGCTAAAATTTGATGAAGGAGAAAATCTTTGTCAATTATCATCTTTTTGTTATGCTATTTGGGCAAGGAAAGAATCATAGTGTAAGCTTTAGACCTTTACGTTTATGCCTGAACTAGGGGATAGGTGGGAAGGAGTTGAGAGAGTTGAGAGAGTTTGTGTGTTAAAAGTTTGGAATTTGTCAAATACTTTAGATCTTTAAAAGGAAAAAATACTGGTAAGTTTGATTTTTATCGAACTTTTAACAATATCACTGCCATGTTAAATGAGTGTATTCTGCTTTTCTTACTCTGCATATCTACAATTACAGATAGGAAGAAATGCTTCCTCCTTGATGAGAGTTTAACTTTAAAGATAAAAGTAACAGTGAGACAAAGTATATATTAGATTGAAGGACTGTCTCCATAGAGGGCTAGCTCCCCCTTATAATTCAATAGAATGTGGCTTTGGGAGAAGGCCAGGCACCTTTGAGTAAGATTTCTCACATCGGATACTCAGAAGACTGTCTCATGTGCCTAACTAAATATAAAGTTTAGACAATTACCAGTGAAGACAGTTTAACCATGGTCCTTGTGTTTCTTTGGACTTGCTGCACTTTAATTTGCTATGGTTATAATTATTTATCATCTCTTTGACGATCTGTCCATTTACTATTTACACAACTTTGCCATTTTTGCCTTTACAAATAGTAGGAGGATATTTTCAAGTGTGTAAAGAAAATACTGTCTCCTTTCTTCTTTGTCTTTACCCCTACACTGATGATTTCCCCAACATCATTTGAAAGAAAGGACTAATAGCGTCCTGCTTGCTGAGGCAGGATCTGGTGTTCTTTTTAAAATTCAAATGAAAAAAGATCATTGAACTTTAAAGAAGCATTTGTGGACTTTGTTCTTGTATGAAGATAGAAATGCATGGTAGCAGAGGCATGAGATGTGCAAGATAAAGTGAAGTTATTTTGGCCAAAGCCACTGTGATTTTAAATACTCTTTTAAAGTATATGGTAAAGTATACAATGTACTTTCAAAAGATAGAAAAATCTAAAAAATAGCTATTGTGTACCATTAGGTTAGTTAGAGATTGTTCAAGATTCTTTTTCAAAATAAATCTGTGTGGTAAAAAAGTAAGTTTGTTAAAGCTTGTTACATAAAATTGAATGAAATTTGTAGAAACATGTTTAAAAGTCTTGTTGAGATAGTAGGGTACTAGGTTAGGAACTGTGGGTGCCAGTTTAAAGTTAACTTGATAACTGTTTGCGTTTGATGAAATATTCTGCCAAATGGTGATGCCCCCCCGCCCCACCATCACTTCAGGTATTTTCCCTTTTCTTTATAAAAGATTCCTGGGCTGTTTGAGGTCCTTGGAAGGGAATAACAAGAAAACAGAAATGAGTATATGGAAAGTGGGAGTTACTAAAAAACCACTGAATTGTCAGTTGCTGGTAAATTATATAACAAACAATAGTGTTTCTCTGTATTGTTAACAGAATGAGGAATGTCCTGGTCAGCCATTTGCATGTATGTTAGAAGGGTGTCCATCCTGGCTTCCTAAAGGCTCACAGCTCAACCAAAATTCCTCTCTGAAATGGGAGGGGTTTATTTTTATTTTTTGACAACTCTCATCTTGAACCCTGGTTTGGCCTGGCTGAAATTAAGACTATTTGGAGTTTTTTCACAAATGTCTAATGCTTCTTTCTTAGCCTTAAGGTGCCTTTGACCTGAAAGCCTTTTCATCCAAGATATGCCAGGGTCACTAGGACATTTAAAGGAAATATTCTGGGGAAGCACCAGGAAATGATCGACTCTAGTGGTACGATTTGAGGCACAAGGGATTTAAAATGCTCTTCTTGATTCTCTTTGTCTGAGGTTATTATTTATTCTAAAAAAACCCACCACCACACAAACAGGCAAGAGTTAATTTTACTATATTGTATTTTTTTCCATTCCTGTAGTTGTTTGCTATTTTTCTACCTTCCCCATCAGTCCCCCTTTCACATGTTCTGTATTTTTCTTCCTCAAATCACAATTCTGTACATTTGTTTGGAAGTTTGGGTACGTCTCTCTTAAGACTGAGGCTGTTCTGTGAGCAGAAGCCAGAAACACCTGCAGTTTGGGGAAGGATTCTCCCACCTTTGAGGTGATATATCATCCTTCCCAGTCGAGAGTGTTAATTATTTTTATATTATCACTAAAGGAAGGATTTGCTTAACAGATTTGCAGTTTATTTGAAGTTATGGAAAAATGTCTAAACTATTGAAAAGGATGATATTTAAGCACCTGGAACATAAGTTGTTAATTGATCTTGCCACAGATCTTTCCAATTTTTAAAGCTGAGGGGTTTTTTTTGGTCTGGTTTTGACTTTTCTATCTCCTTGATAATATTCTACCTATCATACTATCCTTTTCTTTCATTAAACATTTTTATATGGTTTGTATGACTTTACTGAAAGAATCAGTAAATTGTCTATAATAGAAAGCAACAAAATTTCATGACATGGTATTTATAGTTACATTATGATGATTAAACATTTATTGATTGAAACACTTTTTTGCTGCAGTTTTTCTAACTGGGTATTGTGAT